GTCAGATACAAAAGGCCTCCCTGGAGGGATTGGATTCACTAGAAATATCCCAAACATGCAAATCCATTCAGGCAGAAGTGGACTGGCAGTCACTGAGGGCTGCAAGGAGCCTTCGAGGTGTGGCTGGAATATTCTGGAATATTTTCTGCTCCCCAGTGTGGTGCGGCAATGCTTGCACCACATTGTGGTGCACTGAAAGCCATCAATGGTAAATTTTGTGTGTTTTTACACAGTAGAGAGAAGAGGTGCCAGTTATCACAATTCACAAGTCTCTATCCCAAGATTTCCCTGAAGCAAGTGACGCTGGGGTTCAGGGCGCATCTTGCACACATCAGCCTTCACGCTCCACCCAATGTGCACAGGCGTTGGGTTGGCCCCTCTTTAAAACTGCAGCTCAGTGCACACACACATTTCCTGGGCAACTAGTTCTCTTAATGACACGTCACAGATGCCCCTCCTGCCTTGGCCTATATGTACACAGCAGCTGCTAAATGTGCCCCCCACGTCCCCCTGGTGGGCATTTGGAGTGTTTCCAGGCCTTGCTGCCAGAACAGCTGTTATGAGCACTCACAAACATGCCCCTTATGTACAAAGGCCTGGTCTCTGTAGGATGATTGATACATGAGGGGTGGCTGGGCCCACTTGCCAGGTTCTAAACATATTGACTGATCGTGATCCTGCAAGGATGTAGGACCTGACCTGCTCCCCGGTTCGGGGTCAAGACACTTCCCAGGCACACTCACACCCACCACAGCCCAGGCATAACCAGTATTTACCATTTTTCAACTGTAAATTGGGAATGTACACCCACCAAATGGGTCAAGAGTGACATCGTGGTGACACGTTGGGGTGATCTCTTTGGCTGGTGGTGTGGTAGAGCTTCTTGTTACCCTGGGTGGGCTTACTGATTCCTTTGGGATGTCATGAGAGCTGTGTGTGTGATATGTATGTATTCCCCCTCTGGACAGTTTTGTGATTCAGGCAGAAATATGTGGCTGTGATCCCCCATGTGAGCCCACCTTTGAGTTTTCAAAGTGGCGCAGACTGCAGCATCTCTGACATTTGCAATGAACACAAACACCGGTGTTTTTCTAAATGTTAATGAGTGTCTGTGTCCCCTGCTGGAGGCTGCCGTAGTCGGTGCGCACTGCGGAGGCAGAGCTCAGCGACTGGAATTTTCCTCTCGCCTTAGAGCTTGTTTTCCTCTCCTGCAGAACTGGCCCTGGAGTTTCAAGTTCAGAGCGCAGTCTGCAAGTTGCTGAGGAAGGCCTCCACTTCATATCAAAATCAGCAAGTCTGAGGGAAATTATTCATCTCCCACTTTGGGAATGATTAGTTCCGGATGGAGACTCTCATTGTATAAGGTTTGCTGAAAATGTATGAGGCTCTCTGGAAACAGAGAGTGTATTGATTCCCAGTGAGTAAACATTTTAAGCAAATTAAGTGGCAGTAGTAATAATAATAATAATAATGGCTGACATTTTTCAATTGTCTGCTCTATGCCAAGCATCTAATCCCTCCAGTGACAACAGGAGACAGGTGTCATTACCTCAAAGTAAAGATGAGGAAACTGAGGCTCTGACAGGTGATACTGCCTGGCCCAGTGCCACACGGCAGAAGGCAGAGGAACATTCTAACCAGATCTGCCAGGCCACAACCCCTGGTGCTTCCTATGGCACTGCAAGACCAAGGGTCAGACCAGGGGTCTGAGAACATAGTCCACACTGGTCATTTCACCAGCACCACCAGGTTGGGAAGGAGCAGGTGAAGCCGCCAAGTTCTTGGCAGGTGACCTTCACTCCCAAGGCCACACAAGTAGGAAGAGGGAGAGAGGAATGGAAACCTGGCCTACAACACCCAGAATACATGGCAATGGTACCAGGTGCCACAGATCGGCATTGCCCATGGGAGAGCCTGGTCAACCGTGCATCTGAAAGGGTCTAGCCAGGGCCAGTGTTAGCTTGCGGAGGGGACTTTGGAGCAAAAACGCAAAGTGCCAAAGAGCAGGTGATGTCCAAGAGACCCAGGGTGCTCAGAGGTCTAGCGGATCAGCAGGGTAGAATAGCACCTTTGTAGTGATACCTGGAATGGAGGCCACATGGAGGCCAAGTGGGAAGGATATTTAGGTCACCCTCTAAGACCCAGAGTCTGCTCACTGCTTTTTAATTTCCATCACACTTCCACAAGGAGGCAACTTGCAATTACACACGACATAGAAGGAGGTCACATGGAGGGGGAAAGGCCAGGGGGCAGGTGTGCTCCAGGTGAACATTGGCTTGGTGGAGCATCCCAGCTGCCAAGGAGATGGAAACAGGACAGCGATGCACCCGGCTCCTCGTCCACTTGCAGCCCATGTCCAGCTCTGCTCACAGCTACAGGTGAGCAGTGTCACTGGCAGGGATGAGACGAGGGGAACCCTCCTGTGTCTCCAAGAGAGGCCAGGACAGGCAGCCACATCTCCCGGGGTGCTGAGCTGAGTCCAATTCCAGTGGTCACAACTTGAGAGCCCAGGAGAGGCCCTGATGGGTCTCCTCTCGTCTCTCAGACTCCAGCCAGGTTCCCAGTCATGCTCTCGGACAGCAGTGGCACCCAGCACCCTCAGGGACCACGAACAAAAACTCTCCTCCACACTTCTCTATAGGAGACCCTGTCTCAGAGCAGCGGGACCCACCATGGCAGAACTGGCCAGATGCCACCTGAGGCCTGTGCTGGCCCAGCCGGCACTGCCACCTCTGCACAGGTGGCCCTTCCTGCTGGAGATTGAAAGGCCAGCCCTCCATGTGCAAAAGTGCATGGGAGCTCCTCTCCAAGGAGCCCCACTTCCTCTGCACAAAGAGGGGTGGCCCAGCTGGGCATGGAGACCACAGCTGCTCCGCCCTCTCCAGGGCGTGGACCTACAAGGATTTCAGGGTCCCACCAAAGTGTTCAGGATCAACCCTCCCCCAATTTTTGTTTGCTCCCAAAGTATGAAAACACAAAAAATTTAACATTTAATGAATTAACTACAAGATGCAACACATCGACAAGTTTGCAGCTTTAAATTTTGTGATTATGAACGTATTTCTTATACTACATGATTCGGGCTTGTTCCCAGGTGAGATGCAGGGGTTGGTTTGGGGTTTTTTTGGGTTTTTTTTTTTTTTTTTTTTTTTTTTTTTGGTGCTGGGGGCTGAACCCAGATCCCTGCACAGACTGAGCTGCACCCCAGCTCCAACACAGGGTGTGAGATTGCCTACAGCAAGGAGCTCTCCCCAGGCCCCAAGTGTGCAAATGACCCTGCCACAGACCGAGCAAACTGGCACCACAGTGAGTGAGTGTGCAACTTGCCCTACACCTGGCCAAGCGCCTAATTGAATTGGGGGCATGTGAAGCTACAGCACTTCCTCCCAGAACTGTGGGTTCAGGTGCCAGGCAGCTGTCTCTCCCAACAGCCAGGACAGCCGAGCAAAGCTACTGCCAGACGCGGACCTGGAGTGACGCCACCTGTTAAGTTAAAAGGCGCCCGAGTCACCCTTCCGCACACCTCATTAGCTAAGTGCACTGACCCGTTGGATTGGGGTGACTTAATATCTGCCTATTGACTTTAGGGAACGTCTGCCAAACACAAGATCTCGGCTTGGACGCGGCTGATGCGAAGCTATTTCTTCCTGACTCTTATTTGTCAAACAGGTTGCTGAGCTGGGCAGGCCACGTAGACGAGTACAAGACCCCAGCGTCAACAAGACCTTGCTTGCTGTGACAGCAGGAAATGTGGCCCATTAATTTAAAAGCTGAATCCGGTTTCTGGGATGTAAGTGGGAAGGAAGGGCAGCCAGGACACAGAGTCATTTTCCATCACCGCAAAGACAGCCCCTCGATTGTCAGGAGACCTTGGCCACGCGTTTGGATGCTGGAGGTGGTGCTGGAATATAGGGCTTCAGGAAAACGTATACAGCCACGGGTGGGTGGGGCAGCAGGTGCATGACACGTGGCACCTTGTGAGCACCCTGGCCGTTCCCTGGCTGTGGCTCAGAGCTGTGCATCGTCCCACTGGGCCTTAGGTTGGTTCCCGGGAAGAGCAGATGAGTTGGACAGCACACAGGGTGTGTGGGTGCCTCAAATCTTCTCACTCTTTCTGTACCATGCCGTCTTCCCCCAAAATTCAAGCCAACATTTAAAAACCAGAAGTTATCCTATCAAAAATTCAGGTTTCTGCCCTAGAAAGCTCTAGAACCACCGAGCAGCCTTTGGCTTGAATTTCTGCTGTTGCTGGGTCCCGGTGCCCTCTGCAGACCTTCTCTGTTTGCTTCCAAGCCCAGGCCCCCATCTGCAGGGCGGGTGGGCTGCTGCAGGCCCACTCCCAGCCTGACCCGAGGTGGCCTGAGTCGGGCGCAGACACTCAGGGGGTCTGCCTGCCATTGGGGAGGCTGCGGGACTGGCACTGGCCACAGCGAGAAGCCAGGCTCTGTCCTGTGTGAGCTCACTCGTCTCCCACCACCCTCCGCAGCGCCTCGCTGAGGTCCTGAGGCAGCCACGTGGGAGAACCAAGCTCCCCCCCGCTTGGCTTCTGTCCCTCAAACATGGCTCGGCCACGCTTCCAGAACACCCCTAGCCAGGGAGCGCCCTGCTGCAAGGATCTCACACACTGAACCCTCGCGACCTCCCGACAGTGGCGGGCACTTGCTTTGCAGAGTGACAGTAGCGCTCATTACTGTGATCCGTCCTGGACAGCGCTGCCCTGAACAGCCTGGGTGGGGGGTCCGTTCCTGTCACCCCCTGCCTCAGCATGACGGAACACGAGGCACAAACAGCTTAGAATTAAAGGCCGCGCGGGTCTGTGGGTCTGTAATGGGTCAGAATATGCACAGGAACGCGCGGCCCCGCCACCCCCTCCCCAACTCCGCGTCTGAGTCTGGCTCATCTCCCCGTCCCCGCCCTGGTGAGCACCACCGGGGGTCCCACGGGGTGACCTCTGCCCAGTCGCCGGGGTCGGCTTTGGTGGGCAGACGTCTCCAGGGGAGCTAACTTGAGGTCTTCCTGGAACCCAAGCTGGAGCACATCCTCTGGAAGACCTGCCTCAGGATCAGGTCCTTGATGCGCTTCTTCCCCGTCCCCTTGGCCAGCCAGTAGAGCAGGAACAGGCGCCGCTCCGTCAGCTTGCGGTTCACGCAGCGGGCGATGGAGATGGGGGTCTCCCCCTTGGCGTCCTTCTCCTGGATGGGGGCCCCGTGCTCCAGCAGGAGTTTCATACAGTCCAGCCGGCCCATGGCCACGGCCACGTGCAGGGGTGTCCTGCCCAGAGGCGTGCTATCCAGGAAGTTGGTACCTGTAAAATGAGAAAGCCGGGTCAGCGAGGGCCACTCTCCTGGCCTCAGCCCTCCCTCAGAGACACTTGGCACCAGAAACACAGGAGGGGCCGGACCGGGCACTGCTGCCCTTCCAGCACCCCTCAGCACCAGTCTGTCCCCTCATGACAGCCAGTGTCTTTCCACAGTGCCATGTCATCTCCCACTTAGACCTCATCACTGCAATCCGCCTGCTGTGGGGTTAATGTCTTGATCTTTGCTGCTCTCTCACCCATACCCCCCCAATCAGTGCAGCACCAGCCCCCCACATTCTTCCTCCATGACCCTGCCCACGGTGGAGGGTCTAATTTCACCTACCTTCTGTCTTTACCCTTAAACCCTGCTCTGCATCCTGCCCCCGGCCCTTTGTACAAACTGTTCCTGTCACAAACAAAACTCTTGCCTGTTTTTCCCCAGTCCTGGGACAACTCTTGTCCTTCTTAGTGTTCCATTCACCTTCCGGGGAAGCCCTCCTCAGCTCCCCTTCCCCACAGCACCCCTGCATGAATTCAGCAGACATCTGCCACCTTCAGGATACCCCCATGCGACTGACCATGGAGTTAATTATTTGTAATCTGATAACTTCCCCAGTGAGCTCCATGAGGGTAGAAGATACTCATTTTGATCACTGCTGTTTTCACCCCAGGCACGTAGCTCGGGCCTGGAGGAGACAGGCACTGGGAAGTGACGGACGACCAGCAGCCTGACTCATGGACAGATCTCCCTTCGATTGAATGCCTCACTGTCTCCCGAAGATGGACGGGCTAATGGCAGGTGTCCAGTGTGGACTTGTTGAATCGAATCAAATTCTGGGTAACAAATATCATGACACAGAAAACAAGGCGATTCAATTAAACTCGGCTGACATTTCCGGGGCCTGTTTTCATAAGCTATGGCTGGCTGGTGAGGCGAAGTCTCCATCAGACTCTGGATGGTGGAGTCCACCCCACATGCCTCCTCCCGGCAGCATCTGCAGGGGACAGAAAACTTTGCAAAGCCGGCTGTCATTTTTTTTAACTGGTGCCTTCAAATACATCATGGTTCCATCAGAGTGAAAATGACTTTTCATGAGCTTAAAGGACTGCTGGGTTGTGAGAAGCCATATTTCATTCTTCAACAGGAAAGAGGCAGTGGAGGAAGGCAGAGGGCACAGTCGCCAACCCTCGCCCAGCTCAGAGGTTCATGTGCCCGACACGCAGCCCAGTCATCCTGCCCAGGAAACCCGGGCTGCTCTCCACCGTGCTTGGTGGAGTGGGGACAATAGAGAAGCTGAGAGGAGGGGTCTGACATGAAGCCTGCCCATCAAACCCACGCGGCCTCACCAGCCTCCTCTCCCCAGGGGCCCTGCAGCTCTTGCCTACACGTTTCCAACCTTCTGCATCTCAATCATGAGCATGCCCCCCACACACAAAATACCCCATGTCCGAGGAGGATAAAGAGTACTCGGGCAGAATCTCAAGCAAAGCCCTTCAATTCAGAGGCAATGCGGGCTCCCTGGGGACAGACAGAACAATGGTCACCCCTAAGTGGAGGCAAGAGTGAGAAGAGTCTGGGGAGAATGTCACCAGAGGAAGTAACTGCAAGACTTGCAGAAAGAAGGCAGGGCCGGTCCGAGGACCACCCGTGGGCCAGGCCACCTGGGACGTTCCAACTGCAGGTGGGACTGGAATTGTGCAGACAGTGTGGCCATGTCCCCAGCAGTGTTCTGGTTGGAAATAACAGGCCAGGAAACCCTTTGCTGCTCCCTGTCCAGGAGCCTTGAACTTCTGTCTCCCTGCAACAGGCAGCATCTTCCAGGGTCTGGCCTCGACAGCCTCTGCCTGGCATGAACGGAGACACTCCCAGACACCCATGGAGGCCTGGCACGGACCCAGCTCTGTGAGGGACAGGACTCAGACCCAGGGAATCAGCACTTGAAGGATCCAAGAAGACCAAGATGCTGTCCCCCGAGACTCTCCAAAGTACCATGCTTTCTGCCCAGATTACCTTGTTCTAGAAGGTACCGCACAGCGTCATAGTGACCTCTGTGGGAGGCAATGTACAAGGCCACAAATGCTCTCTGGGATGTCCACCGCTTCCACTTCTCACCCTCCAAGTAACGTGAATTTGCTGTTCGGTAGAAGGAATCTTCAGTGATTCCGAGACAGGAAAGCTGGGTGGGAGAACACAGACGGTTACTCTGGGAAGTGCAGCAGGTGTGGTCAGAGGCTGAGGGCAGCTCAGGGAAGGTCTGTCTGCTTGACCCACACCAAGGAGAGGGCAAAGCCTCATCAAGAAATGGTAGGAAGCCAGGGAAGGGTGGTGGGGGACACTCTTCAACGCCCCGTGGGTGTTCCCGGGACAAAATCACCATCCGTCAACTTGGGGAGGCAGGAACATCCCAGTCAATGTTTTAACGAGAACAAATAGCTTTTTTGGTGGCCAGAGGAAGGTAGTTGTGGCCTTAACAAAGATACCAGCCAAGATATGGCCTCGCCAGAGGGCAGCCCAAGGGGGAAGTCTCCTCGAGACGGCCCGAATTCTGGCCTCCTGTCCACTTTGGTGCCCAGTGCCTCTGTGGAGCACTCTGAACCCCTCACAGGGGCATAGCCCTGTCATATGGTCACCTCGTGGAACATGGGAGAAAGGCTGCAGCATCCACAGGAAGGACTCTGCCCCAGACATCAGGGCCAGGTGGGGAACAGCACAGGGGACAGAAGTGACAGACATAAGGACATGGGTCTGCAGCAGTTCTGACTCGAGACCCCAAACAGAAGAGAGAGAACCCTACATCAGGGCGAGAGCCAGAAAGCTGAGCCCAGACCAAACTGCTGGCAGCAGAAGAAAGACCCAGGGATGGGGATGCTGGGACACAGAAGGGACAGCAGCAAGGACGGGTCTGTACGAGGATCGCAATGACCGGGACGCGCCGCCCTTCCTGCCAGGGCCTGCGGCCGGCCCTTTCTTGGCCACAGCCCAGCGAGCAAACTGCACCCTCTCCCCCTGAATCTGATCCACAGGAAAACATCCACCTATCCCCGTGTCAGCGATTCATCTTCTCTGATAGGTAAACATCCTGGTCTTTGTCCTTCCCTCCCACCCAGAGTCAGCTGAGTGCCCCGCGGGGGAGGCCTGGCAAACAGTGGGTCCTGCTGCCATCCAGGGTGCTGTGGGCGCCCCCAGAACTGGGTCACCTCCCGCTCACCTGGGCACGGCCGCAGCAGGCAGGCAAGGCCCAGAGCTCTGGAGCCCTCCACCAGGGTCAAGTGACTCTCAACCTCAGAAGGCAAACGGACGTATGCGCTGCCTTGATTGTGGGGGGTGAGGGATGAGTGGGTCCCTAAGCCATAAATAAGTAAAGTCCCTGGAACTGTGCGCCCCGAGAGAGAGGGAAAGCTCCTGAAACAGTGTGCCATCATAGGGACCAAGGTCCTCATCTTTCTTCCTTTCTCTGAAGCCTCCATTCAAACCCTCACACTAAAGATTGTCGCTCTGCACAACACCCGTGGAAAGAAGCGGGAAGCACCTTACTGAGGGCCCCTTCCACGGCTGCCAAAACCAGTTCTATCCAGCCATCATAATGCCAGATGCTCAGGGAAATCACTCCTCCGGGCACGACGTCATGGAACTTGAGGGTGCCGTCATCTATCATATCTCCTGCGGGGAGCAATGATTCCTTTAAAAAATTGGGCATTAAAGAAAACTTATTACATCGGCTAGGAGATTATCTGACCTTGGGAATCGCAAAGATAATTTTAGAATCTTGAACAAAGATCTCATTTGATGATTCCGCATGAGCCTGTTGTCGTTAATGCTTTTTAGAAAATTAATTTGGCTCGGATTGAAGCTGGACCAAAAACACAATGGCAACCATTTATAAAAATTCTGCAATTATGGCTTGTCCTGTTGCGAAAAAATACATGAGTCAGTAAAGACGTTTTATGAGGCAAACTCTTACAAAGAGAACTACTTAAACTTGAGGCAACTATGTATTGCGGTAAAATGCACTTACACGAGTTACATACGTTTAACTAAAAGACCAACTCTGGTCAATGTTGTCAATTGCTAACCAAAGAGGTGACAGTGTCCAAAAATTGTTGGATTCACATGACGACCCTGGGCAGGATTTCTCCATGCTGGCACACCTGACATTTTGAACTTGAATGCTCTCTGCCCTGCACACTTTAGGTTGTGAGGCAGCCTCCCTGGTCTCTACCCAAGGGGACCAGCAGCCCCTGCACCTCGTTCCCATAGTCAAAAACGTCTTCAGGTGTTGCCAATGGCCCCGGGGGACAAGATCATCTCAAGGCAGACCTATGGCCACGTAAGGAGCAAATATTGACTTTCACTGTGCTGGGGCTTGGTGTGTTTGAGCTCCTAAGCCTGTCATCACCTGGCACAGAGGCTTATCCACGTGAAGGACCCAGGATGGGTCTGTTCTAAGTTCACAGATCCGGGCTCTGGGGAAGACCATCGGCAGTGGTAACATGAATATTAATAGAGAGCATTTTTTAGCCGGTTCAGTTGTATTTGGTTGACCTTTTCAAATGCATGCGTTTTCTCGCGTTGGCCATCTACAGTCTCAAGAATGACAAGTGTGCCTCGGGTCTGCCCATGCCAGGCCGACGCACATTCCCAGGGAGTGGAGCTCGCTGGTCTGCTGGGCTCTGGTGGCAGGGACCCCTGAGGGCCTGTGTGTTCAGTCCTTCACAGTGAGTGCCTTGTGCCTGCACTAAGTTCTTTGATCCTCTCAACAACCCCTCAAGACAGGTGCACCTCCGTCTGCTAGGAGCAAGCAGAGGCTCCCCTGGCTGGAATGAGCAAAGCCATCTCCTAACAGACTGGAGCTTTGTGGGCTCTAGGGGCACCATTCGATCACTAGAAATTCCGAAGGGTGGATGGAAGTGGAGGATAGTGACTAACCAATCTGTTCATTGGGGTCCTGTCTGTGGTTGGAACACAGAGGATCTTTAGCAATCAGTCTAAGACAACTCGACTTCCAGACAGCTCTGAGACACTGAGGAAAGCTGTGCTCCCTGGCAAAGGCGGGCAGGTGACACATGCAGAGCACGCCCCTTGACAGGCAGACGGCCGGGCTAAGTCAATCAGCAGAGTTGCCCAAGGATAGGAAGGGCGCCCCTCGCCTCACTCGCTGACTCCCTGACCACTTGCTTGGATGGGATGCTCACGCACGATCTCATTCGCTCTTCCCTCTTCCGCCTTCGCAGTGGGCAAGAGCAGCATCCCCAGATTATAGACAGTAGCCCAAATTTCTCCTAACACTGAAGTAGTACCATCTTCTCTCTCGTTTGCCATCCACAGGAAGGACTGCACAACAGAGAGAGGTCATGCTCTCTAGCAGTTGCTAAGTGGCTGCTGAGTGACAGCTCTGTGACATCAGTGTTAACTCACCCCATCTCTCTCTTTCCCTCTTAACTCTCTTGAATTTATTGCTCAGCAGGGCTCATCAGTGAAAATAAATGAACAGAAGGGGTCCAGACATTTGTAGTTGGAGATACATAATTTTCAAATTACTTGTGGGGGACCCTTAATCAGCCCTTCAATGATTCACCGTCGTTCTTAACATGTGAGGTACAGTCTAGGCTCGAGACACTCTTCCTGCTAAATAAGGCCTTGAAAATGCCCAAGAACATCTTTTGAATGTTCCTGCAGAAAAATAAATATGCCATGGAAAAATGTTGAGCCTATTTTAAAGAGTGCAAAGCGTCTTGGCCTTCACTGCCCGTTTGGAGTTTCCTGAGTCATTCCTGTCCATGGGGGAACAGCACGGAGAATTCCAGAGCTAATGGGGCTCTGCTTTACGGATTAGGAAACTGAGCCCAGAAGGGCAGTCCGGGAGCTGGCTGGTGGAGACAGGCTGCTCTCAGGTCTCGTCTCCATCGCCTCCCGGCCCTGCAGTACAGCTGCAGTCTCTCTGCAATATCGGCTCCTCACATCTCTGTGCAGCAGCCCAGAGATTTTTTTTTTTTTTTTAATATCTTCATTTTCTTGAAGTGTTTTGCGTTGATTTCAACCGGGTGGGGAGATGATGGATCTCAGGGGCTTTGATCCTGTTCTCATATCCTAAATACTGTAGGGAATCGGGATAGGGAAACCACGCATTCAGGCTGAGGGAAGGAGATGAGTGGAGGGAGACCTGAGCAGTGGGGTCTTTGGCCTCCCCCAGGTACCTACCTCCCACATGGGATTTGTCTGGACAAAGGGTCTTTGGGGGTCCTGATTTAGGCATGGTGAGCTTCGGATACTGAGTTCTGATTCCGGTTGGGCTAGCTTTGAGCTCCTAGGCAAGAACACAGCTCAGAATTCAGGATTCTGATACAGACTGGGTTAGAGCCAGTACTGGGGTTCAAATGTGGACAGGGTTTGCTTTGAGCTTTGGGGTCCTGATAAGGACAGAATTTGCTCTGATTTGGGATTCTGATGAAAGCAAGGTTTGCTGTTTGTTTAGGAGTCCTGGTTTGGGAAGGGTCTCTTGTATGGTATTTGGAGTCCTTGTATGGCCAGGACTTGTTTTGGGATTCGGGGTTCTCATGAAGCCCAGATAGTGTGGAAACTGTAGGTTAGGAAATCAGGCAGGTCTACACTGAGATTTGGGGTCTTGGTGATAGGATCTGCTCCAAGATTTAGGGTTCTGACTGAATTCGGCAGGGTTTGGTCTATAATTGGGGATCCTCGTATGGGTGGGTTTAGCTAAAAGAATCTGAATTTCAAATATAAGCATAGTTTGCTTTTGAGTTTTGGGGTCCTCATACAGGCAAAGCTTGTTTTGAACCTTGACTTCCTGACATGGACATGGTTGACTTCAACCTTGGAGAGTTGGGGTAGCTGTGATTTCATGGAGGTTTGTGGGTTCAGTATGGGAATATTTCACTTGAGTTTTGGGGTCCTGTTGTAGGCAGGATTTGTCTCATTCTTGGAAATCTTCTGAGGACACTTTGCATGGATTGGGGTTCCGATGTGGTCATGGTAACCTCAGGGACTAGCTTTAAGATGTGGGCACAGCTGGCTTTGGGTGTGGGGGTCTGGATGAGGACAGGGTTTGTCTGGGGCTTTGACAAAAGTTGTTGATGGTCTGGGGTGTGGAGATAGAGATGGCTAGCTGGAGACGGGATTCAGAATCCAGAGTTTTGGGTAGAGTCTGCTCTGGGATTTAGGATTTCGTGGACACCAGGGCAGCTCCAGGATCTGAGGGGCAAATGTGACAGTGCTTGCGGAGAGATCATGGGACCCTGAGGGGGCAGGGTTCTTCTCCAAGTTTGGCACCCTGGTGTGGACACGGCTGTTGGAGGACTCAGGTTCTGAAGGTCACATGACTATCTTGGGGATTTGGGGCTCAAGATCTGGCCAAGTTTGTCCTTGGTTTTGGGGTCCTGAGGTGGGTAGGGTTTGTATTGAGCTCCGACATCCTTGTGTGGACATGGTTGCCAGAGGACTCCGGGTTCTGAGGTAGTACTCCAGCGTGGAGATCTGGGATTCGGTTCTTGGTTGGGGTACTGAGGTAGTCCAGGTTGGTTTGAATTTTGGCGTCTTTGTGTGGACCCAGTTGCTGGAGGAGTCAGGGTTCTGAGGTAATGGTCATTACCTGAAGACTTGGGGTTCAAATTTGGCCATTTGTTCTGGGTCTTGGGGTCCTGGGATGGGCAACACTTCAGTTAGTCCTTGTGAGGACACCATTGATGGAAGTTTTGGGGTTCTGAGGTAGCAATGGTTAGCTTGGAGATTTGGGGTTGAGTCTTGGGCATGTATGCTCTGTTTTGGGGTCCTAGTGTGGGCAGGGCTTGTTTTGAGCTTTCACATCCTTGCATGGGCATGGCTGATGGAAGTTTGGGGGTTCTAACATAATGATGGTTAGCCTGGAACTGGGGCTCAGTCTTGGGAGGTCTGTTCTGAGCTGGGGTCCCAGCGTGGGCCTTCAAGCTCTGGCATGCCTGCATGGACGCAGTTGCTGGAGGACTCCAGTTGTGAGGTGGTCATCATTAGCCTGGGGGATGGGGGTTTCAAATTTGGCAAGGTTTTTTCTGAGCTTAGGGGTCCTGTGGGGGGGAGGGTTGGAATTTTAGCTTCCTTGGAGAGACCCAGCTGGTGAAGGATCTGGGGTTTGAGGCTATATTGTTTAGCTTGGAGATTTGGGGTTCAGTCATGGGCTGTTCTGTTCCGGGCTGGGGTCCTGAGATCAACAGGGTTTGTCTCAGGTTTTGTGAGCTTGTGAGAACATGGCTGGCTAGGGGACTTGGGGTTCCAATGTTGACAAGTATAACATGAGGACTTGGGTTTGCTTGGAGTTTGGGGTTCTGACAGGCAGATTGTCCTGGGTTTGGGGGTACTTCTGAGGATAGGGTTTTTTTGTTTGTTTGTTCGGTTTATGGTCTTGTGTGGACACAGCTGGCTTTGGGGCATAGGTCCCTTATGAAGACATGGGGAACTTGAGGGTCTGGGTTTCTGGGGTACCTTGCTGTGGTGTGGAGATCTGGGGTCCTCCTATGAGCTGGACTTACTAGAGGTTGGCAGATGTAGTCTGACCCAGGCAGGATTTCTGTGGACTAGGAGGCCTGCTGTGAGGTCTGCCTTGAGTTTGGGGTCTGTTGTGAATCCAGTGTTTGGGGCTGAAAAGTCCCTATGTGGCTAAGACCCCCAGTGGCTCTTCCACCTGGGGTTTAAAGGTGGCCGGTGTGTGTTAACACCCGGGGTGCCCTCTCAGGCAGGCCTCCCTTTATAACTCAGGCAGGAGGAGTACCAGGTACCCCTCACCGGAGCTCAAGGGATGTGGGGAGGGCAGGGGCCACCTTGGTCCAAGTAGTGGAGCCGCTGGAGGTTGAAGGGGATGCCGACAATCAGGTCCAGGTCCTCTCTAAGCTCCCGCACGGTCGTGTCACCGCGGCAGTTTGACACTCGGAACACCTCCCCAGTGTCCTCTAGCCGCACCCGCAAGAAGAAGACCTCAGGGTCCAGGTCCACCGGCTCACGGGCCTGCTGCTTGCTCTGGCTGCGGGCACGGGCCCTGGACGGCAAAGAGGCCTGGCGCGGGGCGCCCCCCAGCGGCCGCTCGGGTAGCGCACCGCCCGCCCCCGCCGCCCGCCGCCTGGCCCGGCCCCGCGTCATCCCTGCTGGAGCGCAGTGGCCGCGCGTCATTGCCGCCCCCGCGCGCCCCGGGCCCACGCCCCCGCCCGACTGTGACGACGGGCGGCAGCGGCCAGGCACCGGGCAGGACAATGCGTGGCCTCCGAGGGCCTGAGCTACCTGACCAGGCGCTGGCCTCCGCTCGCCCCCGCCCCTGTCACCCTGGATAACAGTGTGTGAGTGTGTGTGTGTGGGGGGGGGGGGGGCGTGTTCTTGCTGCTGCTGGGAAACTGTTCCCTCTCCGGATCTGTTTAAAATACAACCTTGGCGTAATTCAGGGCAAGCCACCTGGAGGAATTGCGCGTGAGAAAGTCTCCACATTGTCCAGGGGGCGGCCAGGTGCAGACCTTGGCCAGGGACCGGGTCAGCGAGGCAGAAAAACGACGTGGGCTCGCCAGAGGCCTCCAAAGAAATTCGCAAAACGACACTAAACCTCACCAACTTTGAAAATGTCCTTGAGTGCATGGAGGTAGAAAGGTGTTTCCATCAATTCACCCAGCTTTCAAGTAAACAGGAAGTTTACCTGTGGGCTCAAGTCACACTCAGCAAGGAGCCCAGGAGCAATTATCTCCACTTACAAACGGGCTGGGGGGGCGGAGGCAGGCAGAGGAGAGAGGGGAGCCAAGAACCACGTTGGAAAATTCTGTTGTTACAAAAAAGAATCAAACCTAAGCTTTGAGATACTTTCTGAAAAGAAACTGCAGCCAGGAGAAATCTTTGCTTTGGAAAGGCATTCACATTATGGACAATTTTAACATACAAATTGAATTGTAAATAAAGGTTGATTATTTACCAGAGTCCCTAAGGGCCTCACAGGCACCTTGTGGTTCAGCATGCAAATTCTACACCTCACAACACGTGTAGAGGCTCATTTTTTCCCCTTAATGGTAAATTAATCTCTGTATAGAATACAAGATTGCAGTTGAATAACTGTATTTGATACTAGATTAACAGATTTTAACATGACAGTCTCACTTTCTGAGCAATAAAAAAAAAAAATAAATAAAGATTGCTTGTTACCAAAGAAAAACAGTATCTCCAAAACTTTTTTTTTTTTTTTTTAATATGTGGCTTCTGATCGTGATTAACTCATTCTGTCAAAGTTGCCTAAATGTCACCCTGGATTACAAACTAAAATCTCATACGTCTTATTTTCTTTGGCATGGTAGGTATGGATTCCTTCTGTTCTTCTCAGAGAACCAGTTCAATAGAATTTGGGGATTGGGAAGGGGGTATCCTTTATATCAGGAAATTCAATGTGTAGCTTCAGAAATTTTATTTAATAAAAGAAGAAAAAGACATACAAAAAAAAAGATCAGAGAGGAAAAGAGGGCCCTTGGCAGCTGGTTCCTAAATCCCCTGTGGGCTACTCTTCCTTCTTCTCTGGGCCTATTGTTGAGAAGATAAACAGAAAAACAAGAACAATGACATATGCATACAGAGTTTAATCAAATGTTTACAGAATCTTGAATTATTAACTAATGAAAAAAACTGTTAAATTCTAAAGCATTTGAGTCTAAATTTTAAAAGCATGAAATCTAAGTTCGGTGTACTTACATCAATTTGAAGAGTACATGATTTAACCCCCCAGAATCACTGGTATTTGTGGGCAAGTTCTGATCAGAACTATGGTTTCCTATCTTTTAGTATTCTAAAGCATGAAAGTTGATATCCATGCATCTCAGTTATCTACTTCCCTCTCAAGTTCTTAAACGTCGACAATATATCTGTACAAAAATGAAAAATCCTTCAGCTTTACACCAACGCCATCTTTGTGAGGAGAGTTCCGGAAAGAAGCAGAGGGTGAGTGCTTAAGAAGTCCCAACCACAGTAGTAGAAAGCCTGCCATAAATCATTCTTAGTAGCTTTGTCACATTTTTCAAAAGTAAACAAACTGGGCTATGTTTGCAGCAACTCGGATTGCAGCATAAATTTCAATGATATATTTGTTCAGTTCACTGATAGGAAGCTAATATTACATTCATATATTTTCTTCCTGTCAAGAGCTATTTACAAGCTGGGCATGGCAGTGCACGCCTGTAATCCCAGCTGCTTGGGAGGCTGAGGCAGATGGATCCCAAGTTCAAGGCCAGCTTGAGCAACTTAGTGAGATCTTATCTAAAAATAAAAAAAGATATTTACATATGTACAGTATCTCAGTTAAAAATAAATATAGCACCATAAACTATATTTTATATAAAAGCAAAAGGGAAACAAATATGCAAGTCCAGTAAAGATTTCAGAGCTTCTAATAAGTGATCGGGAGGGGAGACTCGAATATAGTCTGCCTTGAACAAAACAAGTTGCTGGCAGGCCTGCACCCTGTCCACAAGGTGTCCTGGGTCAGGCCTGTGGGGCTGGGGAATGTGGCACAGGCCTAGCCATCTGCACTTAAGTCCCCACCAAGATTCAGTCTGGGAGCCTCAGACAGGAAAGGGGTCTGTCATTTGGGTGCACAATGCGGAAGTTTCAGAAATCTTTTCTTCTTCAGCAGATAAAATACAATCAGTTCCCCTTCAGGTCACAAGCCAAAGGTGCCAGGCATGAAACAACCTTCCCAGAGGAGTCCATCCTGTTTTCCTAGTGCAGTAGGGTCCAGAAGACTCTGTCGCTTGGTTCTAGGGTGGCAAAAAGGAAACATCTTGGTCCTGGTCAGATTGCAAAGCCAAGATGGTCTCTCCAGCAACTTCAAGATGAGGGTTACTTGCATTTCTAAAATACCCTGAGGAGAGAAATCACAAGTTCGTATCACATGTGCCATGAACTGTGTCTTAACACATCCTCTAGTTGCTGCTGCTGTTGTTAAACCACATCAGGATAACAAGTCATTTTAATAGAAGAGTCATACGGACGTCCTTTCAAATGACAAAATGCCTTCATTAGTAAGTATCTAACTTTTAAAGATGGACTCCCAATAGTTTTGCATATTTAAAAAATTATAGTAAGTAAAAAAAATTAATATTACTTGTTTTCCCTGAAATACAAAAGAACTGGCACCAGGTGGAAGACAGGAGGAGGGCAGTTGCTCGTGGGTGGGACAGAGGTACAGGTAGAGGGAAGGATATAACCTCTCCCTATATTGGGGTGTAGAAATAAACCATTCAAAGAACACACAGATTTTATTAACTTAGTCTTGCTCAGGTTTAAAATAACCAACCAGGCTGGCGTAGGAGTGTCTTCTTAGTAAACACACACCTCCGCTGCAGTGGAACAGAAGTCACAGCATAAGTCACTAACTTTTACATCATGCCTCAAAATTTACAAGTGTCCCTCCTTTCTAGAAGACCACGTGATATTTTGTACTTTAGCATATGTTCATCAAACATAAAGACTAATTGCATTTATTTCCTTAGCTGTTTTATAAATAATAACTGTTAGGCACAAAAGTTGGTCTATTAATTCACCTACTACTTCGGAACTGTGTTGTCACACGACTTGCCATCATTTCCTAGAGGAAGTCCAGTTTCCCCCTTTAACAACTGATGGTTTATTGAAGTGTGTAAGTTTGGAAAAGCGCAGGGCGCACCCTTGTCCAGCAGTGTCCACCGCGGAGCTCTGGCCAGCAGTGAGGGATCCTAAGCGAGGCCCCGAGGCTGGGATGCAGGGGCTCTGCAAGCTGGTCCTCCTGCACCACTGCCTGTGGCAACAAGCAGGGAAGCCAAAGGAGCGACTTGTCCAACTGTCTTCTAAAAACACAAACTCGTGTAGTGCCAAAGAATTCAGAATCTGTAGGTTTAAGGTATACGTGTGTGATGTGGTTAGAAATACCATTAATATTTCAGCCTCATTCAGCCACTGACCAGCGACATGGCCTGGGTTTATGGCTTAACTTTTCCAAGCCTCACTGTCCTCAACCGTGCGGTCCTTTGCACAAAGCATGGAGCAGGCTGCTGCCGCACTGCATGTGGCTGGCCACGAAGGGTTTGAACCCCACCTCTGCTATCCACCAGGGCACAGGCTCTGATGCAGGGTGTGGCTCTCTGCGCAGCAGGCTCCTCCTGCGTCTCCAGCTCCTGCGCACTCCTTCCCCGGCCAGCTGTATGTATATCCCCTCATTTAATCCTCAGGACTCCCCTAGGAGAGCAAAATTAAGCTAGTATTAGAGTGAGAGAATTCTGGTCCAATCTGGTGGTGACATCTGGAGGTCTCATGACAGCTGGGTGGGAACACGCCAGGTAGGCCCTGAGATCGTCCTGCTGCAGGGCATCTGGACCCTGGTGGGTGGCACTGGAGCCACAGCTAGCAGACAGGCGCCAGGCACTGTCCTGCCCAGCTGAGCAGCGCTAGCCCTCTGAGCCCTTCAGCAGCAGGCATGGGGGACACAGTGAGGCTGCTCTGCCCCAGGCCACTGGCGCAAAGTTGTAGACCTGGGCTTCAACCAGATGGTCTTGCTCCAAGTAACCCTCCCAACTCCCTAGTGACACTTCCCAAGAGCTGTGCTGAACAGTCCTCTCAAGACTCCCAGAGGGACAACTGGCTGCAGGGTACCCACTGCCTCCTGCCACTTACCGAAGGCAATGTAGGTAGCAAGTGACCTTATAGTGAGCCTTTTGGGTTGTGCTTTTGTGGGTGCTCTAAAACCTGAATAATTAATTAGTTAGAACAACAACAAATCTCATTGATTTTTCTTGAACAAAACTGGTTGGTGTGATGTCCTTTTGTTTCTCACTCATTTTCTAAATCCAGATAGAGAATTAAAAAGCAAAAGCAAAATTATTTATGCTTCTGCAGTTTGGGAGTTGGCATTTTTCAAAGCAAATAGCCCAGTACCCCACAATTCCCTTCCAGCCCTACAGGGGGCGTTCATGAGTCCTTTGGTTGGGGATGATTATGAGGGAGGAAAGGAGACTTGAGGTCTGGGGTCAGGTAGGGTCCAACCATGGCGTGTGTCACTGTACTATCAGTGCAGCTGGGTAATGGGCTCAAGGAGATGAATTACACCATTGTATACGCTTGAAAAGGTACATGAAGTAAAGTTACAATGCTTAAAATAACACCAGCAGAAAACAAAAATCATGAGTTTACACTTCCTGTGTGATCTTGAGTAAGTTACTTAACCTCTCTGGGCTTGAAATGTATTATCTAAAACAAGAGTCCAAAGGCAAACTGACTCTAGCATGCTCAGTACACAGTAGCTCTATTAGAGAATCTGATGTGATGAGATGCTTTGCACTAAAGAAGTATTCAATAAATGGCAATAAACCCTCATCACTGCCATTGTCCCCAGCCAAACACATGCCCCCATTTCCAATACTCAGCAGAGCACGTGGCCTAGGAGCCTGACAGACTGACATGAACTTCAAGTATCTGAAGAGGTGAAACAGGCTCTGTTCTAACCTCCTGCTCTGCCTTTCACCCCCTCTCTTCCAAAGCCACTGGCTACAGTAAGGTGCAGTGGTGGGCATGGCCCTCACCTGGCCAGACGAAGGGAGTGGGAGAGTCAGAGCTTGTTCCCTGCTGCAGCCACAGGATGTCTGGCACACAGTAGGGACTCTGGCCATCCACAGGTGGGTGAGCTCACTGGAAGGTGACCCTGGGTTGGTGCTTCCCGTCACTGCAGGATAAGGGTCCAGGCAGAATGTCCTGGAGCTCCCAACTAGGGCTCGGGGGCTGGGGTTCTGTGCTGAAAGGATGTCATCAGGTTGTAGAGCAGTACAGGGGTGGATTCTCCCCGGGCCTCACCTACCCCACCCATTGAGAGCAGTGCAGGAGCCCCCACCAGCTCCCAGGGGTGGGGGACTAACCCCAGGCCCCTGAACTGTGCGGCCAGAGTGCATGCAGAATCACCACGGCCTGCGAAAACACGGAGGAGCTCTTGAGAAATGCTGCCCTTGTGCCGTCTCTGACCATGAAACAGAAACCAGACATCTGTCACCCTCCCACCTTTCTCACGGATTCACAAGCAAGAGAAAAAGTCAGTTTTGTCACAGTAATCATTAGAACACAGAAAAAAAATGTTTAAATATATCGCAATAAACATATAGATACACATATAAAAAACCCTTCATTAAAAATGAAGAGGAGAATGGCATTTGAAAAATGCATTAGCAAGCTTGGGGGTCTAAATTTTAGAACATTTCTTCTTGCATCATAACTACATCATAACAATGTAGTTACATTGTTACCTCTTAGAACATGTCACTTTTCATAAGATTTTAGAGCCATCAGAAAATCAGTATTTTTAAATGAGATTTCTCAGTCGGTATTCAGCTGGTACGAAGCCCATGAGAAGCAGGACCGGCTTTCCTATACTGCAGTCTGCACACTGAGCACCTCTCAAAACCATGCCAGAGTGTTAAAAAAAAAAAAGAAAAGAAAGAAAGAAAAAGAAAAAGAAGAAAAATAAAAAGCAGCAGCTATTATTTAAAGGGTTTCACATATAAAGTGATCTATCCACAAATTCTATCACTGAGGCACATAATTTTTAAAAAAGCTACTCCAAAAATTGATAAAAGTATATATAACACAGTTCCTAATTTCAAAATTTAAAAGCTGGTTTTATAGGTAAACTGACAAATTCACCCCATGAAAAATACAGATGTTAAAATGGAAGATAAACACTCCTGCTTTTTTTTAATTGATGATTTTTAATGGCATTGCTTTTTATTTATTTTTTTATTTGTTCTAATCAGTTATACGTGACAGCAGAATGCATTTTGATTCATTGCACACAAATGCTTTTAATACTCCCAAACAGAAAAGGCCGTGTTTCCTCCCTCGGGAAGGAGAGCCACCAACTTCAGAAACCTCTCGGCACACAACTTCAGGGCAACGTGCATTAGGTAATCACAGGCGCCACAGGGGCTACGGAGGTCCAAAATCAGCTTCAGCTGTGTGAAATTAAAACAAAACCAAAATAACAAAAAGCAAAAAACAAAACAACAAACAAAAACAAAAAACAAACAAACAACAAAAAACTTCTTTTGGTCCAAAAGAACACCTCACTAATTTTTCTTCACGCTCATTTAATCTTATGCATAAAAACAGCCACCAAGACCTCGCCAGCGCGGTCAGTAAAATGCAAACAGCAGAAGGCCGCGCGAAACGGCTACGCTGAGAAACGTGGAGGCAAAAATCAACGCGCACAAACCAAACTAAAAAGAAGCAGATGCAGCTTCGCACCACAGAGGCTGGGAAACGACGGCCGCGGACCTAGTGTCCAGCAGGTACCGCTCGAGCGGCCCAGGACACCCGCACCAACCGACAGCGTGAACAGCGGGTCGGGCTCCCGGGCCGCCGGGGAGCGGGGGGCGCGGCCTGGAGACCCGGCCGGGGCCACCAGCCGGCGGCCGAGCGGAGCGGAGCGGGCGCAGCGCGCCGCGGCTCTCCGCGGCCCGGGCGGCTGCGGAACCGACCGCATTATTTTCACCAGGCAGCCAAAGGAAATGAAAAAGCGGCGGGGAGGGGGGTCGGCGCCGCGAGCCACGGGCGCAGGTGCTACTTTCATATGGAAAGCACTGTGCTGGGGAAAATGACACCGTATCGCGGGCGCGGGAGCACAGGATCCTTATCAGCAGCTCGGGCTGCAATAAGCGCGGCGGAGATGGAGATCGGCGCTGCGGAGCGATAACGCCGGGCGGCCAGCGCCGCGCACCGCCGCGCACCGCCGCCAGAGGGCGACGCGGCGCCGTGGAAGCCGCCCGCCGTCCTCAGGCTCTGCACAGCGCGCGGGGAGCGGGCATAATGACTGAGCCTCAATCTCTCAAATTAAGCATAATGATTAAAGCTCGCAGCAAAGAGAAAATCTTCCAGCTCGCCCCTGGCACCAGCCAGATCATATCCTGAATGGCTGCAAAAGCCTGATGAATTTCTTCGGGGAAGACAATGACTGGAGAGATTTCGAGTTGTGGATAAGAAAAATGAAAACTAAAGATACCGAAATGAATCTCAACAAGGCGTGAACTAAAACCCAAACCCCTGCCAACACAAACAAACCCTCTCCACATCACGAAAAGCGCATTATACACCTCGGGAAGGGGAGTTACTTAAAACGATGCTATCACCCTTTCATAATCACGAAAACCCGGCACATTCCTACTGCCGGCACAAGATGGAATCGAATAACTCCTCCACACACGAAATGATGCACAGATATAAGCCACCTTGGGGGACATTTTTATTTAATAATCTTCTCATCCGTGTTAGACCTTTTCAGATCTCGCTGTCGCCCCATTTTCTTTAGCAGCTGAAGTACATAAAGCATGCTGTACCCTGCAGAGCCGACAGCACTCAAAATGCTCAAGAAAGCTTTGCAAAACCTGCTCCGATTAATAGGGAAATATTGAAGAGTGGGCAATTCATCTTTTATTTGGTTCAAACAAATTACCTTATAGAACAGCAGAACACTCTAATTCCAGGGTGCCTGCAGCCTCGGCTCTGTGTGAAAATGAATGTCTCCCCAGAGACTGTGGTATTTGTTACTTAGAGCTTTGGAATTCGGTTATACCTTAATAAAAACATAATCTCTTTATCCAAAAGAACATTATTACTGCTGGTTTAGAAATCAATTATAAGGTAGGAAAATTAAGACTTACTTCTTCTGATTTGCCTTCTCATTGCCCTGAACAGGTTTCTACTTACTCTGCTAGTTAATGTCAAAACCTCCAATTCCTGCTGATATTGGTCACTACAAATTCTTGAAACTGATACAGATATTCTTTCCTCTTGTCTTCATGGAGAAACTATTTTTAAAAATGTATATGTAATTAAAAACATATAAACCCACAAAATAACCCCAAGTGCCCCCTCTTATTTTGTTTCAGATTAAGGTTTGGCACTGGAAGAACCCTGCCTTTCCCTCATGCCCTAACTCCTTTCAGTTGTCATCTATGGCCCGGTGTGTGTGTGAGCTGGCATCCCAGCCAACTGACATCAGTTCGCCCAGGACGCTCCCAGTCTTTCCCCTGGTGGGCGCCTATGCTGTGTATTCCCAAAAGCCCCAGGGTCTCTTCCTTCTGCCATTTCCCACCTAAACAATCACCTCGGTGTGTGCAGCGGACAGTGCCGCTGCTGCCTTCCTGCAGTCAGCTCAGCACCAGCAAAGGGGAGTCTGAGAGCGCACCCCCTCAAGGGCAGCTCCGGGTCAGTGGATGCAACTAATTAGTTTCTCTAGGCCATTTCTAAACGCTTCTTTTTACACTCATCGTTCCTTTACAGCAAAAAAGAAAAAGGAAAAAGAAGACAAGACAAAAGCAAGACGGGAAGCAGCAATATCCTGCAGAGAAAGCCCTTCATGCCGACCTGAGGTCAGGCCTCGGCCCAGGCTCTCCCCAGCTGACTCTGGGCAAGTCAGGCCACACTAGGGGCCTGGTTTCTTCTTCTGCACCCAGTGTGCTCAGCTGTGCGTCCATAACACCCTACACAGAACTGCAGCCCTGAAGGACAGGAGCTGGGGAGGAAACATGATAAGGCATTGCCCATTGATAAAACAACATCCACTTTAAGATTTGGGATGGTGCATTTCAACAGAAGAAACCCAGACAACTGCACTGTGATTTTTTTTCTTTTTGTCTTTCACTGATTCCAGACATATCCAGGGCTTAACACGACTGACTGGAGAGAGGGTGCTTGTTTTTAACCCTCCTTCCTGCCTTTAGAAAATCATAAAGATGCTTAAGAACTCCTGTGCACAAGATCCTTTAAAATCCACTGAAGACAGGTACCAGGTCAGCTGCCATCAACTGATCCCCAAGAATCACAGCCAGCTCATGAACGGAGAAGGCAAGATTCTGGCGGACCTTCCACTAGGGGTACAGAGCAGACACACAGATCACAACAAGCAAATGTAATTTAATGTTCCCAACATCTTACATGGCATTTCTGGAGCAAAATGAATGCTGCCAGGTGTCAGCCACTTAAAGCTCTATTTCATCAGAGACCAGTAAACATGCCGATCGGCATCCATAGGAAATCCAGGTCAGCGAGCCTGGCCGCAGTTTCCCTTTGCTTCCTAATTAAATAACCCTCCTCTTTCTGCACCTGCCTCTGAAAAGGCTTCCTTTACCTGCATGAAGACAGTGTTTTGTACGTGTCCTTCAGGCAGTGCCAATTCTGCCTACCCAGGTCACTGCCACCCCTGGGAAGCTGTCTGCACAGTGTTTAGCTACGTCTGGGCCTGCACTTGGTCAGTCATCGACACAAACTGATTTAGCAGAAGCTGAGGGATTATAGCCTGGGAAATGAGAGAAAAAAGGAAAACATTACACTTTAGGAAAGAGGGTCAAAGGGAACAGCAAACTAAGGAAAACAAGCAATTTGGAATTTAAAGGTGAAAACAACAAAGCAGAAATTTGGGGAGGAACAAGAGGCCTTCCCAAAGTCAAAGGGCTTTGGGGTAGCGCCCTGTTTTCTCCAGGGAATGGGTTTGGCTTTGGAGGAAGTTCAAGTGGTGCCCACAACTTATCTGGAATCACAAAGAACAGTCTAGGTAGCTGTCTGCTTGGCATGGTTAACCACCTTGAGGTTGGGGGCTGTCTACTCTCTCCCACAATCACCCAGCAATCGAGGGCCCACGACCAACACCTAGGTCATTACTGTCTTCCAACAGATGGGTGGTGCCCCTAAGATGCCCCCTGCATACATTCATTGCTGTAAGGGCAAAGCTCCACCATAATCTAGAACACGTGTGAGAACTTATTTGGCACCAGAAGCTAATCCAAGAGAGAGAGAAACTGAACACACATAGTTCAACCAAAGAAGCTGTCGACTTTTGACCAAAAAAAAAAAAAAATTTGTATTAAACAGACACCAAATAGTAAGATGTCAAAATATTTCTTACATTAACTTTATTAAAATAATATTATAGATTGTTCAGAATATTTTAAACACTACTTTAAAATTTCTCTTTTTAAGTTAGAGAGAAAATGTTAGCAACACAGGTTATGAACCAAGATACATACTTAATATTGATAGAAGAAAATTATTTGGTTTCAATGTCTGTTCTTAAACTTAACTTTCAGAAAATAAAGTTTTGAGTTGCTCGTTCTTTCTTTTTCTTTTCTTTCTTTTTTTTTTTTTTTTTTAGGAACAAGCCTATAATTTAGATTTGTTCTCCTCAAGGGGATGGGTTCATGCCTCTGTTCAGTCTCCAAAGGGTCACTGGTTCCATTTCTGGGGTTGCCAAGATCCTACAGAATTGTTTGGGAGTATTTATCAATTTGCACCAGACCACTTCCCCTTCAAAGAAATGAAAGAAGCCAACCTAAGCCAAGAACATTCTCTGAAGTCAATGATGTCTCTCCAGAGGTTACAAACTGCTTTTGTACAGTTAGATATCGTGTCGTACAGGCCAGTCATTTTAAGAGCTAGAGAAAACTGATTGCACATATTTTAATTCCAAGACTGCTTGTGGTCCTTACACAAAACAAAAGCTACTGTTAAAGTTGGTGAGTGCCAACCATGTGAGCCTGCTTGTACTAGTCTCTGAGCCCTGAAAACCTCCCCCGTGTGGCTTCCAGCACCCTCCAATAACATTCACATGTTAAGGGTAGACTGCCCCAGAGGAAGGATGAGGTTTGCAAGCCACAGAGTGGCAAGCACCTCAGTTTTCTGGGGAATAGATACTGCAGCGCCAGTGGACCTCTCAGAGGGCAGGGGGCAGTGAACTGAGTGAAGAGGTGTGGCGATGACAGAGAATGCGCCCCGTAAACTGCTTTTAGTTTCCACGTGGACAAACACTGTGCGTGTTTGCTAATGAACCTTTACATTAGGTTAACAATTAAAATGAGCAAGAACATTCACCAGTGACATATTGGTCTCTGATCATTGATTAACATTAACTGAGATGGATCTGACCTTCTCCTTCAACCATGACGTGGATTTCTAGCTTGCACTTGAAATGTCATACTGTCTACCAGCTTAATGGATTCTGACAAATCAGCTCAACATATGATCCAGGAAAGTCGATTAATACAGGGATAGATGCTTCGTTCATTCTGAGGCATGCCACCAGAACCTTCAATGCCAAGGTTTTCACTGAAGTACACTGTTTATTTTAACAGAATAAGAGAGAAAAACAGGTCATCTGGTATGACAACCTAAGGCTTTTTTCTCTAAGTTAATAAATTCACATATACTCACAATGTGTGTGGCTGGAATTATTATTATCCAAAGTCCTCGGGGTCCTGTTGAGTGTAGCAGTTACCAGGAGCCAAGTTGGGTGCAAGCCAACCACCAAGGCCAGCCCCTAACAGTGCCTGAGTTCAGTGCCCTGCACCAGCGCAGCAACAGGCTAATGGCTCCTGAGCACCCCCTTCCTTGCAGAATCCTGATGATTGAGGAGATGGGCATCTTCTACACCCTCCCCCATGCTGTACCCACAAATATATGGTGCAGCTGTGGCCAGAGAGGGGCCCTTGGGGAGAGGGCAGTGAGGTGGGTTTCTGGCATAGGATACCTTGCTCTTCTGAAGAGACAAATGGGAGACAGGCAGAACTGTCACGAGCACCTGGCAGAGTGGACAAAGATACCGAGTGGCCAGCCCTGGAGCTTCCTGTCCACGGCACTGCTGTGTCTCAGCATCTGGCGTGAGGGAGCTCTCTCCTCACTGTCCAAGCCTCTCAAGAGTCTGTTTCCTCTTCCTTCTTTTGCAACTGGCAGCTCTGGCTGGGCCCAGAAGAACCTTGAAGTTGAGCTGAAGTCCACAGCTTGGGCTCCTCACTATAAAATGAAGGCACAGGAGCACAGGGGCTTTTCCATCCACCCAAGAGCCAACCTGAAGCAATTGTTTCTTTCCCTTTCCATGTCTGTCTCTAATGGAGAAGCCCAAATACTGTCACATCAAGGTCAGCATGGTCAAACCTTTCTACTTTATCTCCATGATCACTACAGTCAGGTCACAAGGTAACAGCATGAGTTTTCTGGCCCATTTTTTAAGAAAAAACAGCAACCCAGTATACCATCTCATTTCTTACTAAAGATAACTATGACCAACTCTTAAACATTTTATAATCAGGTTTTATGAATTTTGTTTTGCTTTGCTTTACTGGAGCAGGTCTATGGAGTATGAGAGGTGGTAAGTCAGTTTAATCACTAAGCCAAAATTAAAAACTGTGTGAACAGAGAAACAATTTGCACTCAGGCGCTGAAAACCATACGTCTGAAGAGCCTGCCCACCACGGCCCACGGTGAAGAGAAGGCTAACATCCCTGCTCCTTCCCTGATCACAGACCCCTCCCTGGTTTTCAGACTCCACTCCAACCCCCAGGCACGGGAGAGCATATTTTAAAGTGGTCGCAGTGAAGTTTAGAAGGAATTAGGGCGGCTCAGGAACCCCAGTGGAAGAGGGTTAGAAAGCTTCTAGAGACTCAGGAAAAAAGACATCCCAGGCCCTCTGACCTGGCTTCAGGCCCTGGACTCCAGGAGGACTCAAGCTCTATGTTCCAAGCAGCAGGATGCCAGCACCACTGCCAGGACACCCTGGACTAAGGAGCCCTGTGCAGTGAGGGGCTGGGTGAGATGATCTTTCCCTAAAGCCTCCATCAACTTTAAATTCTAGGAATTCCATGAGTCCACCCTCCACTATTATTAAAAGATGTAAATGACTGTCAGCAGTGACACAGACATTTATATCATTAATGCCCCCTTCTCCCAAGAATCAGTTCTTGTCATCTTTGGAGGAGAGGGAAGGTACTTTCTGGTCCCCGCCCTGTTTCTGTGGAAGAGAATCAGTGTTATCAATCACCTGATTGATTGGATGTCTAGTTATCCCAAACATGACCTTAAGAATGAAATGAAACTTGCCATTTATCTTCTCTGCAGGGATATATTAATAAAAGAAAACGCAACTTTGTGATTTCTGTCACATCCTCAGTGGCTGAGGGATAGGGCAAATACTTACTGTGCTTTGTAATATCCTGGCCACAGAGAGCTCATTCCGAGATGATGAAGCTGGCAGGGGGATGTGACTGTCAGAGGCAGAGCTGGGATCTGCAGTGGACCTTCTCTTCGACCTTCTGTTGGCCTATGCTGGGGTCATCTGCAGAGTCATACTGCGTGGCTCTCAGTGCAGCTGACAACACCTGAACTCGAGCTGCAAGAAGAGAAGTGTCAAGAAGCCGAATAGCTTATGTAACCTGTGGGGCTCACTCCAGAGAAGTGGGCACCGCACATACACACTGTTCCCAAGCTGAACACATCAGAGTGACCAGGTTCTGGAGTCTCAAAGTGAGTTCTCAGTAAGATGTAATGGGCCACTTACAGTAACCTCTTCAACTAAGGGCCAGCCCCACACACAGCGTCCAATTTGAACTCAAAAGCCTCGGCCAGGCAAAACCAGAGTTGGACTCCATCAGCTATCACAGAAAGAACCCAATGCTACTGCGCAGCAAGCCTGGGAGGCCTATGCCACGCAGGGTATGCTCCCATCCTCTGTGAGGCCTGCCCCTGGCACGCCCTGCACACCCGCACTCAGTGAGTTGGTGTGTGAGCAGATGAGTTACAACCTGCTCACCAAGCCCGGGCTTCCCCCGTTGTCCATAGCATGACTAGGAGAGACCTCCTAACAGTAAAGATGATATATTTGACATATTTTTCTATAAAAATAAAACTGCATGCTTCCAGTGTCCAGCCTGCCAACACACACACACACACACACACACACACACACACACACAACTTCCTGCATCCTGTTTTCTATGAGTTAAATTTGATGGACCCCAAGATTCATTAAAATACTTAGAGCTTGCAGCTGGCTCTCCTCTGTGCCCAGGGCAAGTCCCCTCTTCTTAGTGCAGCACACCAGGCCCTTCCCAATGGCCTAAGGGACATTCCTGTTATGGTCAGTTTACAAATAAAACATGTCATTTATTCCTATATCTTTGGGGTTACAGATGCCTTGGAGAACCAAGGAAAGCTATAAGTCCTTTCTTACAAAGAAGTTACACATGCCGTGCACACAAGATGCCACAAACAATGGTTTCAGAGAACTGAAAGAACCCTCTGGAACTCACTCCTTGACCTCCCTGGCTGGTGGATTCCCAGCTATCCCTCAGAGCTCAGGTCAAAGTACTGATGTACTCTGTAAGCAACTCTCGCAGACATTTCCTCTGTCCCCAGGAACTACACGCTTTAAGCTGGCTAAGTCTCCTCCTCAGCCAGTCCTCGCCATGTTCCACATGGGGCTGCCTGCATAAGCCCCTCAGCAGATTCCAAGAGCTTCAGGTGCCCATCATAGGTGCCCAGCCTCCAGCTCAGGTTCCAGTGCTGGGGATCAGGGTGAGTCCCATGATGTGTTTTCCAAACAGACCTCTGCCTGCACCTGTTAGAAGTGACGTGTTACATGTGCTCTTTCCTTTAGAAAACTTGATTTAATACTCTCCATAAACTTAAGGACAAAGACTAATCACAGGGCTAACTGGACCTTCACATTTCCCTTCCTGAAAGCTTCACCAATCTTCACCCAGCAACAGCAGTAAGTGGTGTTTTTTTCCAATTCTCCAACTCAAGGAAGAGTGTAAATATAGCAGCACCATAGAGAAAGCAGAGTCATGATAATGGATATAGACGGCAGGGTCTGACTCTCAGATCAGATGCCAAAAGGAGCTCTAGTCAGAAAATAAAAATACCCCAAGATGAAGCTGTAGTCTTCCTAGCCACACAGAGACAGACACCTCAGAGTGCAGCCAAGGGCTGAGTTAACAAGCTCCAAAAGAAGCATCACCCTTAGCTGCCTGTAACGAGAAAGGGCATCAAACAGGGGAAAGACATCAGTGTCCATGCACTGTCCTTTTCTTCTAAAACTGCCTCAAATGATGCATATGTCTGTCTGCAGAACAAGGAGGCTCAGTCCTTGCAAGAGTCCCACGTGGAGACACCTCCAACTGTCCTGGCCAGGGAGAGACCGAGCCGATCGGTTTTCTCCACATGTGCATAGTGTATATAAACTCAGGCACACACATGCATCAATATGCAGGCCTGAGGGGGAAGGAAGTGGCCACATGCAATGCACAACACAGAAACATCTCGTGTTCTCTTTAATGACAACAGACCACTTTTACGTTGAACATCTGGACCATTTGTCTTATGCTCCTGCAAACCAGGGAGGACTTCCTGACTCTGCTACAGCCCCCTTCCTGCGGCCAAGCCCCGCTCAGAAGTTGCTTTACGTCCTGGCTTATATCAGGGACAGGAGTTTGCCAATAAAGAACACTAGAGAACACATCCTTTGAATTCCTTGGGCAGGCTGGCTGCTGATGGGAGGTCATTAATATCAGAGAGCTTTGGGAAGGCACTGGCCCCGAGCAGGGTTTGGGCAATGCGGCGCTAGTCACAGCAGGGCCTTCCCCCAGGTTTTCTGTGGGGCTGGTAGAGGGGCTACTGATAGGCAGGAGACACTAGTTTCCACTGATGTCCCTTCCATGAGTGGATCTGGCACTATCTGCATAGGCCTTGTTGAATCAGTAGGTTAAACTGAAGGAAGCAAACTTGTAGTGTCATGTGACAGACTGGAAGGGACGTGGAAAAACCTGAGACCTACCTCCTCACAAGTCCAGTCATCCTCCTCTTCCTCTAACTGGTCATCCACCATTCGGGTGCCTCCCAGTGTCAGATTAAAACGTAATGAGTAGGTAAGAGGCCCAATTCACTCCCTCTGAACCACTGGGAGTGTGGCAGACATGAAGAACATCATGTGACAGCCAGGCTGAGCCTTCCTCTGCATTCCAGTGCAGAGTGTGCCTGACACTGCAGAAGCACCTCAGGGGCAAGTTGTACCCACTTACTGCTCATGAGTACTTCCACTAGGGGGCAGGCACTGGGAAAGAAAGCATGTGGAAGCTGGCAAGAGCTGGCTATTTGTTGGCCACTGAAAATCTTGATGAGGAAGATGCGGCACCTGGGCCTCACATTCAGCAAGTGTTTCATGAATTCTGATGGAGCAGGCTGGTGGGGAGGATGGCCCCATCTTCAGATGACCTGTGTCAGCTGAGGTGTAGCGTGCCCACTAGCACATGCCTGCAGGACGCTAACAGTGGACAGATACTGGATTACCTCAAGGCGTTGGGTTGGTAGGCACCCTTACACCACAGAAAAGATGGACACTCCCAGAGACAGCATTGCAGGCCTCAGAGGTGGGCAAGAATCCCACCCTTATTTGCACAGAACACCTACATCACCAAAGCATACTTGGAAGACTTTGCATTTTTCCTGTGTAAACTATCCAAAGAACTTCATTAATCAAAAAGTAAGAGAAATTTTTCTTTATAGGTTATTTAATCACTACTCTCAATGAATATTTTATCTAAATTTAGGAGACATGGTAGCTTCATTATTTATAACCTAGTAGTCATGTTTCAAAATCATTATTGCAATTACTTTTTGCTTCTTTACATAATTAAAGCTCTAATATTCCTTCCTGCCCAGAAGGTCACTGTCACTAAACTCAAGACAAGACAGTAACTGCAGGGATTTTAGGGGAGTGCTTGAGGTGCGACTGGATCCTGGTGTTGACCCTGGCCAGGAGGCGCTACCTGAAGGGACTGGGCCAGCCAGAGGCAAGAGCAGTCCTGCCTTAGTGGAGGGGGGCTCAGTGTGCCATTCTCTGGAACATGCAGGCCAGCCCTGGAGGGGTTTGCAAAGATGGAAATGAAGGGGCACAGGCACTGGAAGGCAGCCTGCCACACCTGAAGCCAGAGTGCAGTACAGTGAACAGGCTCAGCCTGTGGTGGAGGCCAGGCTTGCTGACAGCTGACCGCCAGACATCTGCTCCACTGTGTCTGCCGGACTCAGCGCTATCCAGAGCATTAGACAAATCCCCAATAAACTAATTTTTAACAGAAAATAAGCAAATATTTAGCCCTATATAGTTTTTATTTTTTCTAAAATATTAATTATACAACAAATAGTGACAGATCATATAAAGTATTTAAGCAGAATGCATTAACCATGGTGTACTTACAACAGTAACAGAAAAGGGAACGACTCGGTTAGTATTTCCTTCTCGATTCTGACTTCGACAAGAGTGAGCTCATTGCAGATAATAAGGCGTGCACCACTTTCTTAATATTCACCCCCAAACTTTTGATACTTCAGGTGCCCTAATTTTGACTTCAGATGGGTCTAAATCTGATTATGCCACCAACCAGGGACTACAAGGACACAATACATAGGCACAAGTCCTGAGGCTGGACACAGTGAGACAGGCGGACACAGCACTGTCAGCACTCACCATCCACAGGGGTCACTGCCAAGCCTGATGAAGAGGGGAGAGCAGAGCTCTGCGGACCCAGGGCGGGGATGGGTGGGGTCATAGGAAGTGCAGGCTTGCCGTGGGCCCCACCATGTTATCTAAGCAGAGCTCAAAAAATCTGGGGATCTAACAAAGCACACACAAAAAAACGTAACTATTCAACTCTGAGTACCCTGGGGACAGGCAGAACCTGTCTTACTGCACAGTGATGGCAGATCCCAAAGTAGTAACAAGAGGGAAACAACCCTGGTCTAAAAGGAACCCCTGGAGAGAGGAGAAAGTAAGAGAAGTGGAAGAAAGAAACACATCCTTCACCTCCTGACTTCACTGTAGGACTTGGTTAAATTTAACAAGATACAAGGGAAAGCTCAAAAAAAAAAAAAAAAAAAAGTTGGGGGGGATATAACTGATATTTGTTATAAACACAGAGAAAGACTGTACAAAACTGAGGCTTAATGGCGGTCCCTAAGCAGAAACTAATGGCAATGCAAGCGATTCCTATCCACAGAAGACCAAGTGTGTCCCGTGGAATGCAATCAGGTATCACTTTGGATATTGATCTGTTTTGAATCCCTCAAAGTTTACGTCAACATTCCTTGGTCAGACTACAAACGTGTGCTACTTTGAGTTCTCCATTAAACTGGTTGTACTATCTTATTGGTTTCCATCATTAATCAATGAGTTAAAAATATAATCTTTGACATATGTTCAGTTATATCTAGGTGAAGGTCATGATTACATCTTCTTTTAAAATTTATCCTTTAAAAAGGCTTTGATTTTAATATCATAATGTAAAATAATTAGCTTAAAGTGTTCCACAAAGGGGAATATGATACAATCATGGAACTATCTGCCTACAGAAAGATCAGCATTTTGGCCACTGCTGCTCCTCATTCAGATACATTAGGTGGAAAATAACACTCACTGTATTTTCAAAGCAGCAAGCCCATTAAAAAATTGTTCTTGGGTTACAACCATGGTGACATGGCTTATACTTCAAATAAAACAAAGTGAGTTTCTAAACCTAAATTTAAAAATCGATTCAAAAATTATAGTTTCTGAGGTTAAATTCCAACTACCCAGTTAGTCCACTCTGCCAAATGAAAGTGAGTGCCTTTTGAGCACCTGGCAGCTCTCCAGTTGCCAGGTGGGCATAGGGGAGACAAAGATTAACAGGATGTGGTCCCCGTCCTCAAGGTCCCTCTCCACAAAACCTGCATGAAGTGCTCTGAACAAAGGTCGACAGAGGGCTGCCCAGGGAGAAGTGAGTGGGCTCTGGCACAGTGGCCAGGTGAGTGTGGACAAGGAAAAACACCACAGAGCATACCCAAGCTGTGTTTTAACTGTGCAGAAGATCCAATCAGGCAAGGAAGACCCTTGTGGGAGAGCAGAGGCCCAGAGGGCAGAAGAGCATAAAGCCTCAGGGAGCTAAGAGTCACCCGGCTGGCTGGTGAAGCGGCTCTCTGTGCTGTTATATACCAGGATCACATGGGGATTTATAAAAAGTATAGATGTGTGGGCTCTCCTCCTTCCTCCAGCTTCTCCAGGATTCAAATGAACGTCCAGAGGTGAAGCCCACCAAGGCCAAATAGAACAGAGCAGGTGACTGCAAGTGAGGCAGAAAGTACGTCTGTGAAGGGGACTGAGGCCAGTAAGGTTCTGGGCTTTCAGCTTACACCAAAAAAAAAGTATCCATGGTTTGAAGGCCCAGAAGCAAGGTGAGAGTGAGCAGAAGAGCAGCGAAGAGGGGACAGAGAGTGACTTCCATGGGGAGAAGAAACAGGGAGTGCGGCCTGAGAAGAAGCAGCTGCCACATCTTCAGGAGAGGCGGGCTGCCTCCATCACTTCCAGACCAGCTGCCTAGTGCTCAGGAGTAAGAATTTCAGAAGTTGAGAAATCTGAAGTTGATGAAGGCAGAACTGAATTGCCATTCCAGAATAACAGACTCATAAATATAAAACTTTACAAATGATCTGGAAAGTGCACTAAGAAATGAATCAGCAATTATAATTGGCAAAACTATATGTACTGAAAATTTCTTGTGGCTTCTTGTCCAACAGCATGCAAATAACACCAAAATTTGTAGCACACACCTTAGAGAGGCAAAAGGCATCCGCATTATTCCTATCTTTTTGTCTTAACAAATTTAAAACTAACAAGCAGGAACCCTGAGAGCAATCATGGCTCCAGTCAGGGCGCTAACAAGCACTTACCACGCCTGCCGCCCACACAGCATCAGGCTAGGGCCTCTGCTGCACTGAGAACACAAGAGCTACGAGAAGATGCCAACTTCTAGGATTGTCTGGCTCCTAATTGATCTTGATACATAATGTATTTGGTTAGCAATAGGGCAAAAAGAGCCCCTTCACATTCTCTGCATGGTAAATGAGACCCGTTGTCTTGCCCACGCATCACGAGGACGGGCTAGAGGAGCAGGGCCAGCAGGCAGCAAGGTGGAAGCAGAGGCTATTGAGAGAGGGGCAATGGCAGCTTCCAGGAGGAACCTGACACCAGGTGACAAGAGACCAAGTGGGAAGCTGAAATTGGGTTTGGAAGGTACAGCAAAGAGAAGAGGGTTCTGGCAGGAACTACCCCAGGAAACCTAAGACCCTGCAGGTCAGGCACAAACCCGGGCAACGGAAGCAGTGGGTGTCGAGGCCTACACCCCCAGCAGGCAGGTCCCGTCCACTCGCACGCCAGGGCTCTGTGTACTTCCTATCTGCAGCAAGAAGTGGAACACTGCCAAATATTTCCCTACACAGTTCACACTGGCTACATCTTTTCTCCAGATGTGCATCTACTGAAGGAGTAGACAGAAACTTTAGAGAAATCAATTCTGAATTTTTTGACTTTTAAAGAGTTTTGAAACTCTTAGGTTCCTACCTTCTGAACTTGAAAGTGTTTCCCATCACCACACAGTTCACAGAATCAAGGGAGGAGCAGGTGTTCAAGTATGTCTTTGCTCAGCATTGATGTCATTTTTCAGATTATCTATAAATAAAAAGAAAATCAGAATCACTTGAAACACCGAAATATCTAAATTACATGTACCAATGACAAGATAGTTTCCAAAAGCAAATATTTAAAATATTGCCAAAATAGCCAAGAATGATAAACACAGAGCATCTTCTTTTGAATTTTATCAAATTATATGATCAATAGACAGATATTTCTCCACTGTCACTCACATAAGTGTCTGTCTAAAGCTCAAGCCATCATCTTCCAGGTACACACCATGTGCCCAACACGTGAGCACACGGTGGAAGTACACAGGCTTATTCTACCTTCCTCAAAACGCCATAGCATGGATATTATCCCACTTCTCCAGATGAAAAAACTAACACTGACAACGGCTAAGTAATGTCACTGAGAACAAACGGTGGTAATCTGGGACATACAGGCATAGCAGGTCACGGCATATAAAATGCCACATGGGCTCTGGGGAATGATAAAACACTAGAGGAAACTAAGAGAGGGACCCTTTCCATGAGAAAAATGCACTGGATAAAGTGCTATTTTTTGTGTGAGGGCACTTCTTAGGCTACATGGCCATGTAAGGTAGTCAGGTCTCAAGCAAAAGCAACAATTTTACTGTTTTGAAGCCAGAGAGCAGAGGTTGAGCCTGCCATGGCAGCTAGAAAGTGGGTAGAATTCCTGGGAAGAAAGGAAGGCTAGAGCTAGAGACTTTTCTGTGAGCCCCACTATCTGTGATTAGATCCTAACCCTAGAATGACCTCTGACCTATGCATGCATAGGGGAGATGCTAAGGCTCAGAGAAAACATTGGTAACTTGTGGTTTAAAGAGTGAGTACTTAGAACTGCTGACTACTGTAAGGAAACACAAATATGAACTGCTGCCCAAAACAAAGTCAACACTCTTCAGAAGAAAATAATAAAATCCAGAGTTTTTACAAAGCTTCATCAATAAGATACAATAAAAAGCAAACACACATAAAGTATATCCCAACCCCACAAACAAACAAACCAAAACAAGCATAAGCATAAGGAGAAAGAAGGTAATGTGATTCATATCCAAGAAAAATGTCAGTCAGTAGAAGGAAACCCACAAAAAAATTCCAGATATTGGAATCTGCAAACTTTAAACTGAATTTAAAGTGACTATTATATACATGCCCAAGGACTAAAAGGAAGAGACAGTCACACTAAATGAAGATCAGGAGTCCCACCAAAGAAATAGAAACTATAAAAAAAATCCAGTAATGATACAGAAGCTTAGTTGTACTAACCTTCCTACAGACAATAATGAGAGAATATTAACAAATATTAAAAACAGGCATTTGGAAGGAATGGATAACAACCAAAAGGCAGAAACTGGAGGGCAGCCTGCCCTTAAAGAAACTGTAATGGGAGAAATTTGTAAGCAAGGTCCAAATCTGCGTATAAAATCTGCTTCTATCTTTGGCTGTCTGCTAAACTACACACATGGGGCAGATTACAGAGGACCCAGCAGGCAGAAATCAGACAAACTGGGCAGACATTAGCTGATGCTCATCAAAGGGAGACAGTTTGGAATTAATGACCAGTCAAGGTAACTGCCTGCTAAGGCAAAACAACATTAGAGAAACAACACAATCCAGAGCAATTACCACTTATAATGTCCAGTATTCAACCAAAAACTGCTATTCAGGGGTTAACATGAGAAGGTGACCCTTAATACAAGTAGCCAATGGAAATCAACACTTAAGATGACACAGATGTTGCAATTACCAGAAAAAGGCTTTAAAGAAGGTGTTATAAATATATTCAAGGATTAAAAGAAAAACAAGTGTAAAGAAGAACAGATAGGAACTCCCTATATCACACATAGGAACTCCCAATATCACAGCACTATTGAGACTGTAAAGATTCTGGAAAAGATCAAAATGGAAATTTAAAGCTGAAAAGTAAGATAACTGAAAAAAAGAAGGGGAAGAAGAAGAGGAAGAAGAAGGGGAAGGGGGAAGAGGAAGAAGGGGGAAGGGGGAAGGGGAAGAAGGGGAAGGGGGAAGGGGAAGGGGGAAGGGGAAAGGGAGAGAAGGGGAAGGGAGAGAAGGGGAAGAAGGGGAAGGGGGGGGAGGAGGAGGAGGAGGAGGAGGAGGAGGAACAAGAACAAGAACCACCAAAAGGCCTAACAACAAATTGAAGATGACAAAAAAGAGTTATTGAACTTGAGATAAATAAAAATTATCAAATCTGAACATCAGAGAGGAAAATGATTAAAGAAAAACAGAGCCTCAAAGACCTGTGGAACAATATCAAGGGTCAAAACCTCATATAATCTAAATCCTAGACTGAAAGGAGAAAAAGAGAATGGCAAAGAAAAAAGTATTTAAAGGAACAATAGTCAAAAACCTCCTAAATTGTGTGCAGGGTATAAATACACAAATCCAAGAAATTCAATGAACATGAGCAGAATAAACACTCTGCTAAAATCCAAAGGTAAGAGTGAAAAATCTCAAATCCAGCCAAAGAAAAGAATAATTTATATATGAGAGCATAACATGAATAGCAGCTGACTTCCATGAGAAAAAAATGAAGGCCAAAAAACAGCAGAATGACTCTTAACATGCTAAAGGAAGAAAGCAAACCTGCCGACCCATAATTCCATATCCAGCAAAACTATCACCCCAAAAATGATGGCAAAATAAATACACTGTCACCAAGAGATTTCGTTGCACGAAAGTACTAAAGGAAGTTCTCCAGGCTGAAAGCAAATGATACCAGATGATAATTCAGATCTAGGAAAAAAAAAAAAAAAAGGAATGACAATCACCAAAAATGGTAAAAATGAGAGTATAAAAGCCATATATTTTTCTCTTTTATTAACTTCTTTCAAAGATATAACTTTAAAAATTATGAAACTATTTTCAGATTCACAATGTAATACAGATGAAAATAATAGGACAAAGCATGAAACCAAGTGAATGTAAATACAACTGCACTACTGCTGTATTTTTTGAAAATCCTTATCAGGGAAATTAAAATGCAATGCTAAAAAGTATTCAATCAACTTAATGGAAAGAAGAACAAAATTAACAAGGGAACAAAAACTGATGAAAAAGTGGAAATCAAAGAGCAAAATGGCAGAAATAAATCCAAATATAGAAATAATCACATTAAAAATAAATGGACTAAATACTCCTTTTAAAAGGCAGAAGCCCAGCATGTTGGCTCACACCTGGAATCCCAGCTGCTCCGGAGGGTGAGGCAGGAGGATCATAAGTTCAAAGCCAGCCTCAGCAACTTAGTGAGGCCTTAAGGAACTTAGTAAGACCCCGTCTCAAAAGGGGCTGGAGAGATGGCTCAGTGGTCAAATATCCCTGTGTTCAATCCATAGTATTAAAAACTAAAAACTGTCAGACTAGATATAAAAGATCCAACTATGTGCCAAAAGCAGAAACACTGTAAATATAAATACATATAGGTTGAGAATAAAAATAAATGTTATAATAAACAGTAAGTATAAGAACAGTGGAGTAGTTATATTAATATCACAAATAGAAAGCAATATATAGATTACTGTAAGAAACATTCCTTAATGATAAAAAGAACAATACATTACAAACATGTTTAATGTTTTTATATTTATAATGGGAAAGAAGTTAGGAGTAAAAATGCTTCCTCTTCATGAAGCTAAAAAATACACGCAAACTAAGTAAAGTAGAAGAAGGAAAAAATAAATAGCAGATATTTTTCACAAAGAAAAAAAGTAACAGTGAAAACCAATAAGGCCCAACATTAATAAAATTGACAAGCCCATAGCAAGACTGATTAAGAACAAAAAGAGACAATACAAAGTACCAATACCATAAATGCAAGAAGGTAACACTATTGATCTTACACTCATTAGAAAATATAAGGAAATATTATGAAAACTTAGATGAAATTAATAAATTCTCTAAAATATCCAACTTACCCATTGACATGACTGAAATAACAAAAATGAAGCCCTATATCTGATTTGAATCTGTTATCAAAAACCATTTCATTAAAAAAAAAAAAATTCTAGAACCAGGCAGATGAATTTGAACAAATATTTAGGAGGGACAATAACTCCAATCTTAAACAACTTTTTAATCAGAAAACTGAAGAGGAGGGACTACTTCCCAACTCATTTTTGAGGCCAGAAAACTCTGATTCCAAAACCTGACAAAGACATAACAAGAAAATTACCTACAACGGCTCTGTTAAATATAGATGTTAATTCTTCAACAATCTATTAGCAAATAATGGAAAGGGAACAACTAGAATTATCCACAGGTATTAACATTCATGAGTGAAAATTTAATGAGGAAGAGTATACTCACACAGCCTTGAGGAAACTCTCCTGTAAAATTGGGCAAATACTGTCTCTATCTATGAAGTCAACAAAATTAACATCCCAAGTATTAGCAGGTCTTGTGCCTCCTGCCATGACACACTGAGAACATATCATTTCTATGACACTCAGCCAGATGGACAGACTGAATCCATTCATCAAGACACATCAGTCAAATCGGGAGACGTTCTACAAAAGAACCAGCCTGTACATATCAATGTCACAAAATTCAAAGACTCAGTAACTGTTCCAAATTGGTAGAAACCAGACCAGATCAGTGGAGACAACTTGACACAATGAGAGATCCTCCACAAATGGCACCGGGATGTGAACTGCAAATGACAGACATTGATTAGCACAATATCAATGCTAAAATTCCCCAAATTTGATCACTGTGCTGTAGTTGTACAAAAATAATTTCCTTTTAGGACATATACACTGAAGTATTTAGATGTAAAGGGGCACAATGTCTCTAACTTACTCTCAAATACTCAGGAAAAAAAAATGTGTGTGCATGTGCACGCCCATGTATATGTGCTTAAAGAGAGAAAATGATAACAAATGGAGTAGAACATGAACTACTAAGGAAGTTGGATAAAAGGTACAGGAGTTTGGGTTATTATTCTTGCAACTTTTCTGAAAAATGTTAAAATAAAACAAATGAAAAGTTGCCCTAAAAAAGTTTTTTAAAAAACACTCTCCCAATCTTGCCCCCAAAATAAAAGGGAGTGGCTGGGCACAGTGGTGCACGCCTGTAATCCCAGTGGCTTTGGGAGGCGGAGGCAGGAGGATCGCGAGTTCAAAGCCAGCCTCAGAAGTTTAGCAAGGCACTAAGCACTCAGTGAGACCTTGTTCTCTAAATAAAATACAAAATAGGGCTGGGGATGTGGCTGAGTGGTCAAGTGTCCCTGAGTTCAATCCCTGTAACCCCCCAAAAATTAAAATAACAGGGAGTGAAGAGGGAAAGGGAAGGGAGGAAGGAAGGGAGGACCTTCTGTCTCTGAAGTCTGCCACTCTCAATGTATACTCAGCACTGCTGCTTTATAGTAGGAAAAGGTCCTGAGTAGGTAATCCACCCATCACTCTATTTGGAATTTGCAGACAAGCAGGCAAGAGAAAAAAAAAAGAGTAATCAGAGCAGGTAGAAGCAGAAACCAGCTCCATAGCACAAAAAAGGAAAAGGCTTGTGTCTTCTAACTTAGGAGGCACATATTTCTGATCTCACTCAGCAAAGTTGTACAGTTACAGCCACAATAAACAGAGACATTAGGCTTCTGTTTCCAGGGTAACAGGCAACTAAAGAGTTCCCAGTACCTCCTTCCACTCCCCTCTGCCACACCCACATGACCTTATTATCACACAGTATAAAACAAAGCAAGAATCATTAAAAGTCAGCACACTGAGTGACAAGAAATGATTTTTCCAGTGGCCCTGGGAACCACGTATATAAAATGATGATCTGCGTTTAGTTTGTTGGAACCAACTATTCTTTATGGCGTATAACCACAGCATACTCTTTAAATAAATGCACAGATAAAAATGAGCTTAAAAACAGGAATGACGACAAAAAATGAGGAAGCCTTAATGTGAAATGCATTGCGAGAGAGAACAGGCTTCTGACAATTAGTTATAATTTCAGAATGCTAATGGCCTCCCTGCAAGCAAGAGGAATTATAATTGGTCTCCGGTGGCCTGTTTATCCTGTCTAGATATAATTACAAGATACAGCTCTTGCCGCCTTGAACCAATCCATTCATCCAACAACTAACATTTATCCAGGACCGACACTGGGCCTTGCACTGTGCTGCGTGTTGATGGTGCAGAGATGCCGGGCCCATGTTTGAGGAGTTCCTTGTCTCAAGGGAGAAACAAACAGAGCTCACAACTCAACTGCCGAGTGACAGAAGACAGATATGTACAAACTCTAAAGTCACTAATGCTGCTTGGGGGGTTGAGAAAGACTACATGAGCAAGAAGCAGATAGGAACCCAGGAATCTATCCTCATCCCAGCAGTTTCCTTAGGAGTGAGAAGACATTCCTCCGAACAGCACTGTTCTCAGTAGGTATGTATTTTCACCTGCACTGTGGCAGTGTTCACGTGGTTGCAAAGACAGCCCTAGACACAGAGGGCACTGGCCCAGCCCAACTTAATTCTTTTCTTCTCGATCACCCTGCAAACCATCAGCTCCCCAAACCACTTCTAAACAGAAACATGCTGGTGCCACAGTGCTGAAGGTCACTCACAGACCAGCTGAATCAGAACCTGCAAAGCACACACGTGACTTCCTTGAATAATGAAACCCACACTCTACCCACAGTGCCATTTCCCAGCTGACAAGAGATGAGCTCTGTCTGCACCCCACAGCTCCTGGGGGCCCAAGGGGCATGTTCTCTCTGAGGTTCTGGGGAGGAACTAGACCAAGACTCATGAAGGCCATACAGGACACTCCACAGTCTGTTCCTATAGGAGCTCTGGAGAGAAGCTCAGAAACCCTCTAGAAACACTGTGGGGACAAAGGCATGTGCCTGGCCTAGTAGTGGGTAGGGGGTCCAAGGCCATCTCAGTTCTTGCAGCCACAGCTCAAGATTCAAGCCATGATACCAGCAACTCACTTTGAATGAGAAAGAAAATTTATGTGAACTAATTTGTTCTGCAAGTGATTTGTGGAGAGAGCTTCTGAGAGGCCTGTTATATTTTCCAAATGTTTCAAAGAAGAAAAAAGAAGAAGAAGGATATTGCTGACAACAATGGAGCGTTTGGAAACAAAACAAAATAAATATCATGCAAAAATGCCTTTAGCATTATTTTTCATGGTATTATCAGTCCTTAGGGATAAGATATTTGGTTGTGGATTGTAACCTTGGAAACTCACCTAATCAACTTCCAAATGAAGAAGATCTAGTTGGCAAAGTTCACTGCTCAACTGCCAAATACCCCACTAAATGTTATTATCCAGGTTCATTTTGCACAATAAATTTAATTTCTTGTAGAGAAACTTGAAATTTATAAAAGAACCCTGGAGAATTTGAATTTTAACAATCAATTATTCTTCAGGCTGATTCATCTTATAAACATATGGAAGATGCAAAAAATTAAATTAATTTAAAAATCCAGGCCTTTAACACATAGTTGAAGAAAACTTTTACATAAATGAAGAAAAATTGCCAAATGTTCTAATGACACAATATAATATTTTAGCTCTATGGTGTACAATGATTTTGTATTTTGGAAAAGAAAATAATTCCTTTCTCTAATATCATTCTTTACTTAATAAAAGAATAGTTTAAGAAAAGATAGTTTATCTTAATAAAAGATAGTTTAAGAAAACTATCCTCTTTTATTTACTCATAATTAAGGCTCATGATTTTTAAAATCGTTTATGTACAAATTTTTCCTAAAAT